CAGTTTTTTGCCTGCCAGCCACTAATGGCCTGCCGCCCACCAATAGTGGCCAATAGTGGCCAGCAACCCACTTTTAGTGGCCTACAAGCCAATAATAGTGGCATGCCGGCCACTTTTGTTAAAAAAACAGATATTTTCTGCCAGCTATCTCCCAATGCGCATGCACTATTCTAGCTGTATATATACATATATTTTCGAGATAGACATATGGTTTTCTATATATAGATGACCTCCCCTCTTGGTTTAAAAGTTGGAAAAATTTAGGATTGAGAAAATATTTTTGGAAAAGAAAAATTCTCTCTCTCTCTTGCAACTTACATAGCCTTTGCTCAAACACGCTAAACCAAACCTAAAGAGTTCCTTGTTGAGGTGATTTGGACTTGAATAAGTTTTGTTCTAAGTTTTGGTATTTTGATATGTTGGGGATACTTTGGAAATTTTGGGAAAAACCCTAGTGGTATTAATAAGTTAATTTGTATAATTAATTAAAGGAAATTGGGGAAATATGGTTAAATTCATGGAATTGAGGAATTCATTGATTAAGAGGTGTAGTTGGATAATTTAAATCACTCACCCATTGAATTGTGGATATATTTATTTTCAGTCTGGAAATAACTGTTTTGGGCTATCGGTGGAGGATAGCTGTGATTGTTGTAGACACTGCATGTGGATTAGGGATAACTGAAACTAATCATTGAATAAATCATCAATTTTGACTGCTGAATTAATACAGCCATTATGTGTATTGATTGTGTGTTGCATATGTTATGTGTTTACATACATTGTTTTGTGTGGGAGGAGATAGGGGATGTACTCCACGGTTTAGGGGAAGATAGGGGATGGACCTCTAAACCAGATTTTGTTTGGGAGGAGATAGGGGATGGACTCCATTAGCACCACTATATGTGTGCTTATTGATATTGGAAGTGTTTTTACATGTTGTTGATACAGCACTAAAATGTGTATCAATCTGGAAGTATGAAGTGTTTTGATTTGAGCTTGAGTCTCATTTGTTTGTTGACATTGGAAGAATGTGAATATGATATATATAATTCACTGTTCTAAGTTTGGCCAGGTTCTGAGCCATGTTGATAAAACTGGGAAGTAAAACGTATCTTAGACAATAGTGTCATGAGACTGTAAAATGAAGTAATTGATTATCTTGGTTAACCATCTGTTGAATGCTATTGCTTTATTCATTGGAGTTGGATTTTGAAGACTATCTTTAGTTGTTTGTTTTTATTTGATAAATAAACAAGCCTAGGGCTTTATTTGTATTTGAGTTAGAACTTATATTTTGTATCCAAGTGTTGGCTTGGAAAGATGTAAGCCCATAGGGCATTTAATTTGATGTTACATGTAGTGATTTTATTTTGTAATACTCTGATGAATGAATTAATAAATTGTTTTCTTTAAGTAATGCATGTTGATGATATACATATAATGGTTTATTTTGAGGGCGTTACAGTAAGGTTTTGGTTTTGATCGTTGGATTGTTGTTTTGAAAACTCCTTCTCAAAAATTTTCATTCTTATTTATTGCTATTCTGAGTTTCACGTGTTTTGGAAGGTGCGAGGTTGGGTTTGGTGTGTTTTTGGGTTGAGCTGGAGATTTTCTGGGCTGAGGGCTAAGCCGCACATGCGAGAAGGGGGCCACACGTGCAGGAGATGAGACCGCACGTGTGGAAATCAGGGGATTTTTAGGCAGCATACTGCAATAAATGCAGGTGCGGGAGTGGAAGTGTGGGGGAAGGGGCCACACGTGCGGGAAGCACGCTCCACACGTACGGGAGTAAGTGTTGTACGTGCGGGAATTGCTGAGTCTAAAAAACTCTGTTTTTCTTTCTTTTTGGGCTGTGTGTGTATCACCTTTTGCATATATCTCTCTCTCTCTAAAAATCATCTCCTCTTCCTTACACCAAACCTCTTAGAACTCTTGATCTTTTTAGATCTATTGCATTTTTAACCCAAGCTTCTTTATCAAAATTGGAGAGCTAACCAAAGGCTTTGTTGTGTGCGGTGAAGATCGTGTTTCAACACCAAAGATTTTAAGGGTTTCATTCCATTTTCTTCTCCAAACTTAAGGTAGGGATTATTCTTAGAGTTATATATATATTTTTGCTAGATTTTGTGATTTTCGAAATTTTCCATTGTAAATGTTGAAACTGGATTTTGGCTCAAGAATGTGGGTGTTTAGGGATGGTTTTCTACCTAGTTTCTTTTAAAAATGATCTCTTGAAAATTTTGAACTACATTGATTGAGAAAAAGAAACTTTTTGAAGAAAACCCCCTTTCAAGAGATTTGAATGTGCTTGGTTGTGGTGAGGAAAACTAGGGTTTTGGGGTTTGAAAGGTTGTTGAGAACTCATTATATTACCCCTTTTGTGCCAAAATGCTTAATGATAAAAAATTTCTCAACAATATATATATATATATAATGTATATGTGTATATATATAATGTATATGTGTATATAAATAGATACACAAATGATGGATTTCACGAAATATGAGGGGTGGTGATGTTGGAAGTTGTTGTGCAAAGATATTATTATGTTCAAAAATGTCTAAGACCCCCTTTTTTTCTCACCCCCTTTGGCACCCTCTCTCTCTCTCTTATTGGTTGGATTTTCTTTTTCTTTTTTTTTTTTGTTTCCCTTGTCCTCCAATCACCACCTGCCACATGTGTGTGGGGGGTGGTGGGGGTGGTGATTAGAGGGGGTCTCCATCACTCCTCTATTATGTTTTTTTTTTTAAATGACTAAATTGTTGGGAGAAGTTTGGAATATGGAAACGTTGCTATCTATTGATGGAATTAAATGCATATGTGGCTATTAGGTGTAATTGCATTGAAGGGAGAGATGGAAATTTTGTTTTATTATGGTATTATTGTTGAGATACTTAAAAGTGGAGAAAGGTTATGAGGCATTGATAATTATTGCATTACATACTCATTCAATTGATTATTATACATTTTGATTGATTTTGGAAAAGTTTACATTGAGAAAAGAATATTTTGAAATGTGAATTATTAAAATGTTTTGGGGTAAATATGTTGATAAGTTCAGATAGGAGGTGTAGATGAGATTGATTAAGTTGGCTTGAGTGTCCAGGGTGAAAGACCGAAAACACGCACGGAGGAGGTACCACTTCCCTTCCGGTTAACAACCGGTAAAGTGGGGTTTTTGGTAGTGCTAGTTATGCCTACTTGCAGACACCAACCTAGGAATTACTGAGTCGTATTTACCGCCCCTCTAAATTAAATTGTAAATTTCTAAATTGTTGAGATTTCAAACTATCATTGAGCATGGTGGCTTTTTAAAAGATGTGAATGAAATCCTCTTTTAATTGGCATGGCATGGCATGGCATGTGCATTTCATATTGGGAATCTTGCATAAATGTAGATACTTTGTTAAGAATTCTTTACTGGGCTTTATGCTCACCCCTATGGGAATTTGGTGCAGGAAAGGACGTGGTGAATTCGCCAATCTAGGGCGTGGATATATGTATATAGAGCACAAGGCTCTGTTTTGTTGTGATTGTATTTCGTAAGCCTAGGGCTATAACTGTTTGAGTCCGAGTGACTATTTTTGTGTAACCGGGCTTAAGCCTTGGAATTTGTAAGCCCTTGAGGGCATTCTATTTACTTTTGAATTTGACGTTCTACATGCTATAGATTCATGTATGTAATATCATTGAATGTATAATTCGCATATGAGACTATTTTGTACGAACTTTTCTAATCAACGTCATGATGATTTGGGAATTGCTATTATTCTATAATGAATGTTAGTCGATATACCTAGATTATGTTGGAGAAATTTTGGGGCGTTACAATCCCAAACATCTTGGGCAGTCTCCATAGACAAATAACCATCACCAATGTCTGGTACCATCAAATGAATAAGCCAACCCATTATCAAAGAGTTGGTAATCTACCATTGGTCATAACCCGGGTCAGTTGTGCTGGGTGCCTGTATCCTATCATCCACATACCCCATCTTCCTTTTGCTCTTCAAAAACATAGTCAAACTCTGTGACCACACGAGATAGTTTTGACCATTAAATAGAGAGGTGGTGATTTTAAGACTAGGGTTGGGATTATCAGTCATAGTAATAGGTATAGGAAAACTCTCACTTGTAGGTGTCTGAGAAATTTTGGACACACCAGTGGAATCCATCATAGATACTGTACTACCGAATCCGCAACAAAACTAGTGCCAAACACAAACCCGAAAGGTGGTGATGGAAGGGGAAAAACAAACAACCACTATGATAGTAAAGAATTACTAACTCATACTTTTTTTTTTTTTAAGACTTTAAACAAAAATAATGAAACCAAACAGAGGTAGAGAGATTCAGGTTATGTAAAGTGACTGGGGTTATAGAAACACAGACGTGGATTATATAAGCAGACAAAACTCAAGAGAGAGAGACAGACAGACGTGGAAGACGACAAGATACCAGGGGTAAGAGTAGGAGTTGAGCAGAGGGAGAGGCGAGGCAGAGTGGCAGAAGGGATAAGGTAGTCGGCTGAAACCAATGAAGGCTGAGGAGTTGTGGTCGACAAAGTTAACACAACCAATGACGAAGAGCCAAGGGTGATTCACTGGTCCATGTTCATCACACCAGGTGAGTTCTGAACCCTAGATGAGCCGAAACCCATTAGGCTTGACACAAATGTGGACGACGAAGCCAACTACGATGATCCGACTGTGATTCAGCTAGGTTAGCTCCGGCGGGGTTTGGTGGCTCCGGTGGGTATTGTATGGGTAGAGGAAATTAGGGTTTAGGGTTAGGCTCTGATTATTTTTAGAGAATGCAATATTAGGGAATGATTAGGCTATTATCCCCTATTTATGTTAATGAAGATTAATAATTACAAGGAAGCCCTAAGGCATTAAATAATTACAAAACAATAACCTAAATAATAATATATTATTCTAACACAAAATTCTTCTACTATTTTACTCACAATTGCCTGTTTGTGATACATTCTAGCCTTCCTAACATACAGAGATTGGCAACAAGTTCATCATTCATTTTACTTATGGATGCGATTATGATATGAAGGTATCCAAATTATGTCCGAGTCCTCGAAGTGATGAAGGTCAAACTTTGAAAATTGTATTTTGATGAAGATAAAAAAAATTCTGACCATGCGATTTTCAAATTTTGATACTCAGGGTAAGTTAACCTATAGAAAGATTGGAGAATGGAGATTTGACAAAAGATCCTATACTAATGCCTGGCCTCCAAAAAACCTTCCACTGCCCCCACCTGGTGTCCCTAAAAGTGTGGTACATTTCCATCACATTCGAATCCTACTAGCATTTTGCTTCATTATCTGTTAAGTAATAGAATCGCTAAGCATCTCCAATGGTATTTGCTATAATACCATTGTTATTGCTATAATTTAGCAATGAATAGTAGTAATTTGTCAAATTATAGCAATGGTGCTCCAATGGTACATATTCTATTTTGACAAATCTCAACCAAATTCTCTCCAAATTTGTAGATATTGTTCGGACATAAATTTTTTAGTGATTTTATTTATTTATTTTTTTTTGTTTTTTGTGACCTTTTTTTAACTATTTGAATTTTTTTATATATATATTTTCATTATACTCGACTAGACAAATATAAAAAACGAAAAAGAAATTGAAAAATTAAAGAAAAAATTAAATATAATTTATCCTACCAAAAAAACGAACCATTACAATAAATAAATAAATAAATAAATAAAAAATTACAAGATTTTGCAGTCTGAAAATTTTGGAGCCAAATTCTGTTTATTTGGATGATGTGGCAAGTTTGGCAATTGCCAAACTTGTTGCCAAATTTGAGAGATGAAATGGCATTTGCTAAATTTGGCAAGGGTTATAGCAACCCATTGGAGCAACATTTTTTAGAACTCTTGTCAAATTTTGACAATGGCAGCTCAAATAGCTTGCCATTGGAGATGCTCTACCCTTTAATTCCAAGTACATTATCTTTTTTCTTATTTAATATAGTTGAGAAGTTTGACAAAGAAAAAATAGAAAAGACATGACATGACATGACATAGCAGAGACACAACAACAAATAAATAAATATATATATATATATATTATGTATACATGAAAATGATAATTGTTTCTAAATTTTCTTACATTACAAATACATTTACAATTTATTATATCAAAATAGTAGGAAATCAATTCATTGTACATATTGGAAAAAAAGTGTGAACAAAAAGTCATAATATCCATTTTAGAAAGATCTATTCATAAACAAATTGAAAATTTCAGACTTTTAGGATTCCTAAAATTAAGAAGTCTAGACGAGGAGAAAACAAAATATAAACCCACATTCTTTTTATTTGATCAATGGATCCCAAATTATTTTCTTAAAACTTGCAGTGTGGTTCATATGTGTTTAAGCAACTACCATCCTTCATTCATATTTTATTGAACTATTGGCAAATTTTGATATTGCAGGTTACTTTGGTGAAAATGGTTAATGAAGCCATAGCAAACATTCCTAACTGGGGATCTTAAAGGATAGACATCAAGTAGAAACTGGCTATAGACAGAGTCTTGTGTTCAGAGGATGGTGAATTTATACTTCTCTGGAGGCACTATGCTTGAAAATATTTGCTGTGAAATTTTGTTTAATATGTGCTTTTGGATTTGCATAGCAAGCATGAAACTTGCTCGATGAGCCTTTTTTTTTTTGGTTTTTTTCAGCTCCTATACACTACCTACACAATTGTAGTATATAATGTTCTGTAACCCACCCTTTTCAAATAACTGACTGTTGATTTCCTTATATCATAAAAATCTCCCTTTGTTTTCATCAAAAGCATATTAGTTTGTGTTTCTTTGACTGTCTATTCAAGCTTTGTATTCATTTTTTTCGTTAGTGGCTTTTATTTCTCGCTAGCTGAGATTCACTGTGAATCAGATACCAAAAAATCATTTTTCCATCAAAATTTCAGAATCTGGATTTATTTATTTTATTTTTTGGGTGGGACTAGTGACTACATAAAAGCCGATGTATTTTAGCTAGTGAGACCAGTAGCGAGGCCTTTTGATGGCAGCAAAATATTTTGTAATCACTTGATCATCACATCAAGCGTCCTTGACTTTTCTGTATCTCCAGTCTGCAGCAGAAACCTCTCCAACATCCAAAACGCCGCCTCGCTCACGTGCCTTCCTCTCTCCAACATTTGTTTGGAGCACTCAAAAGCTTCTTGCACCTTCCCATGCGAGCACAATGATGTTGCCAATATATCCAATGCATGGCCATGGGGGCAGTGACCTCTCTCTAATAGGTAGCCCCACAAATTCAACCCCAAATCAGGCTGACGATTTGCACAAAAGAATTTCATCAACATCACCACTGTTCGTGTCTTGGGAACAAAGTTTTTCTTCGTCATCTTATCAAAGAGTTCAGAAACAGAGTCCAAATTTTTTGACTTCATTAAACCAAAGAACATAGTATGGTATGTGATATTGTCATGCCCAATGCCTTTCTCTTCCATCTCATCCATTAAGCTGGTTGCAGACTCCACGTCCCTGCATCTTACAAGAGAACTCAATAAAGCATTATAAGCACCAGTATCAGGCCTTAAGTTTCTCATGGGAATCTCTTCAAACAACTCTCTTGCTTTAGCTATGTTTTGAGCAATCCCTGCGCCATGGATCAATGTTGTTATTGTTTCTATTGTAGGCAAACAATTTACGCCTTGCATTTCTGTAAGAAGTCTCAAACCATCACCGAAACATCCTTTCTTGCAGTAAGCATCAATTCTAATATTGTAAGTCACATTATTCGGCTTAAAGCCTCTTCGAACCATCTCATGGTAGAACAGTTCTACCGCAGTAACATCACCTGATTCCTTGAAACCCAACAGCAAAATATTCATGGTCTTGGTGTTGGGAGAAAATCGAGGATGCATCCTGTTGAACACAGACCTTGCCTCCTTCATCTGCCTTTGCGTACAAAACGCTGTAAGTAGTACATTGAACTCATCGGTGCCAAATTTCCTCCCTACAAATATATTTTTCTCCATCCTCTTGAATGCTTCAAGGGTATCTTCGAAGGTTTGGAACTTAGCGATTCTCGATAACATGATGCCCATGGATTTTAGGGTTAACAAGGAAGGGTGTGTTCGTTGGATTTCTTCCATCAATTCCCAAGCTTTATCAAAGTAGCGCATTCGTGCAAGGATATGGAGCGTCTTCTCAAAAGCATCTGAACTTGGGCGGAAGTGGGAGTGTTGA